TATATAATTTTTTTTTCTTTATTTAAAAAAAGAAATTTGCTTTTAGCAATCAATAAATTTCAAATGTGCTTTTCTATCTCTCTTTCTCTATCTCTTTCTCTCTTTTTTTTCTCTCTCTCTCTCTCTCTCTCTCTCTCTATCGAATAATCTAACGTCACTATACGTTTTATTACAATAAGTGATTATCAATTCGTGATTCAATCATCGATCGCATTCAATTTGTAAGAGAAGAGATTCGAAGGGATGATGATAGATGAAAAGACATTATATGTATGCACATTCGATGATAATTACAAAATAATGATAAGTCATTTGATTCGTTGTTAAATCCGATGATAAAAACATAATTATAATCGATCCATTTTTTTATCGGATTCTGTAACTAGTTTTCTTTTTAATATTTTTTTTCTTTTTTATTTTTTCATTTTCTTTTAATTTTTTTTCTTTTCTTTTTTTTTTTTTTTTCTTCTTCTTTTTTCTCTTCAACACCTTCGCTATCGTTATGTAGATAGAGAGAAGAAAAAGAGAAAAGGAAAAAAAAAAAAAAAAAAAAAAGAAGAAAAGAAAAGAAAAACAAAAGAACGACAAAATACAAAATAAAATCTAAACTTTAAATATTATTAGACGTTTAATAAAATAATATAAGCGAAGAAACAAAGAAGAGAAAAATTATAGAGAAAAAAAGAACAAATTAATTTCTTGAATTGTCTTTTTCGTGAACACGATAAGAAATTAATGGAAGAAGTAGTAGTAGTAGTAGCAGTAGTAATAATAGTAGTAGTAGTAGTAGTAGTAGCAGTAGTAGTAGCAGTGGTAGTGATAGTAAGAAGTAGGCGTAATATTTCACGTAACGTATAGATAATATACAAAAGACCTGAATTATTTTTCTTTTCCTGCGATTAATTAATAATATCTCTTATAAATGTAAATTTATGTATATATATATATATATATATATATATATATATATATATATAAAGCTCGCAACGATTGTGATATACTTTTTTCGAGCTCTTATCACAGACTGAATCGTAATTACAGCAAGCAGCAGTAACTGCAACATCGATCGTTGTACCACGCGCACATCTATGTTGTGCAAGTACGATGTATATTATTATGTATATGTATATAAGTATTTATATTATCATTCTCTCTCTCTCTCTCTCTCTCTCTCTCTCTCTCTCTCTCTCTCTCTCTCTCTCTCTCTCTCTCTCTCTCTCTCTCTGTCACATGTCCCATAGCTTTGTTTGTTTCGTTTGTTTATATTTGGTCTTTTACTTGTATGCGTATTTTCGCACTCCGTCTCTTTTCTTCTTTCTTTCTCCTACCTAATATAAATACGTTGGTCCATGTTGGGAAGAAAAAGATAACGGATGAAGGAAAGAGAAAAAGAAAGATAGAGGATAAAAAAGAGAGAGAGAGAGAGAGAGAGAGAGAGAGAATGTGTATGTGTGTGTATCTATGATAAACGACAAATAAAAGGGAGAAATATGATAGTGTGTTTTGTGACGTGTATATGTCAGCCATATTTCTTGATGTGGTTGAGTATTTCTTCTTATGCATTTCGAAGGAGTTGGTGTAGCGTGAGGAAGAAATCAGAGTTTAAATTTCTAGTGGATGAAGCAGTCCAACGTTAGCTCTCTCTTGCGTCGATCGGTCACAATAAAACGACGATAAGCTCGTTCGATAAGCCCTATGGGAGTATATACAATGTCACGAATAAATATTACAGCTAAATATACGCCAATTATGATGATAATGATGATGCTGCTGTTGCTGATGATGATGATGATGATGATGACGATGATAATGATTATGATATAATAATATCATCAATAATGATCACCATCATTATATCAAGATATGATATAATATCATTATTATTATTATTATTATTATTATTATTATTATTATTATTATTGTTGTTATTATTATATCAATTTATGATATAATTATGGTGATGATGATAATGATAATAATGATACGAAATAGACGAAAGATAGATAGTATGAAAGAGTAATATGTTGGCAAAGGGAAAGACAAGAAAAGATAATAGGACCCTGTGATCTGGACAAATTAGGAAAGAATAAGATGCACGTGTAGCATGATAGTACTCGATAGTAGGTAATAGTAATAGTAATAGTAGTAGTAGTAGTAGTAGTACTAGTAATAGTAGTAGTTATAATAATAATAATTATAACTAAAGACTAATTAAAGGTATCCGATGACATAGCTAGTAGAAAATGCATTCTTCTAATGAAAAACGAGTCTATTATTAAGATCGTAAAAAAAAAAGAGAGAAAAAGAGAAAAAAGTGGGAGGAAAAAAAAAAAGGAAAACGCCTATGATCATACTATAATCACCGATAGAAAGAAAGGAGAGAAAAAAAAAAGAAAAAGAAAAAGGAACTATAGTAAAAATATATATATTTTTTTTTCTCTCGATACGCGTTATCACTTCTCCGTCTTCTAACAAAATACACGCCCGCTTTTTCTCTCTGTCATCTCAACACGTTCTTCCTCTTTTAACACGACACAGCATCCTCCTCCCTCATCTCCCTCTTCTCCTCATTATCCTCTTCTTTCGACTAATCACACAGTTTTCATTTTTCGGACGATATCGAAAGAAAAAAATATCCGAATAACGACGACGAGACGTACGTATTATATACACGCGCGAAGCGAAAAGAAAAACAAAAAGAAATTACGATAATAGAAGAAGACGCAATATCACTTTCGATCATTCAAAAATTCACGCTTGTTCGACAGTGAGAGAGGATATGCTGTCTCTCTCTCTCTCTCTCTCTCTCTTTCTCTTCGAAGGTTTTTAAATAAATTTTCATCCTTTAAAGAATTTTTTTCTTTATCCTTATATAGAAGACGTCTCTCGTAACACCAGAATCTTTGAAGAGTAGGTTTATAGCGTAAAGGAAAAGTTTTATCATACATTGTGTATATATATATATATATGTATATATATATACATAACATATACTTTTGTATCCGTCGGTCCTTGAATAACGTCCGTTGTCACGATTTTGTTTTGTTTATATTTTTCTTTCTTGCTTTCTCTTTCTTCCGTCATCGTCGCGTTCAAAGAAAGGTTATTTTATTCTTTTTTTTTCTTTTTTTTTTTTATCGCTCATTCGATCGAATTCTCATGCATCTTAAAATCTCTCTTTTTCTCTTTTTTTTTTTTTTCTAATCTATCATCCTGCGAGATCATCGTCTTTTTTGTTTTTATGTGCGTTTGAGAATCACGCGCGCTCTCTTATCGATTCTAAAAAGATTCTAAAAAGATTTTAACTAATGGTATGTAATATCGTCTCTTTATTTATTTATTTATTTTTATTTTTTCTTTTTATTTATTTTTATTTTTTCTCTTTTTTATCTATTGGCAATTCTTTAGGATGAGTCAAAAGAAATCATTGCGATGGCCGTGCGTTTCGTTCGATAGAGAAGATCCTTTTATTAAATTTTTATTATCACTCTTACACACACTCACACACACTTTTCGATCATATACTATATTATACTCTTGATTTATTCTTTAGAGGGGAAAAAAAAAAAAAAAAAAAAAAAAAAACCCAGTTGCTACGTTTCGATCGAAAACTCAATTTTCTCGTTCGAAATGTTCGACGTTTACGAAAGAGGCTTTTTTTTTTTCTATGTAAGAACGATAAGCGTCTTGTTTCGTCCTAAAACATAGAAGATGACAAAAACGGATATATAATCGTATTTCGTGCGTAAACGTGAGCCTCTATGTGAGATTCATAAGATTAGAAAAAGAAATTGTCGAAACAGCTTCGCCGTACTAAACGCGAAACGAAATGAAAGATCAAAAATAAAGATAAAAAAACAATGGGAAAGATGAATGTATATAAAAAGGCCAATTTTTCGTATTTCTTGACTCAACCTATGACATACTGTAGCCACTATGCTACAACTTTACACAGAACGTACGTAGAAAAAGATTTATCTAAATAATTAGAGAAAGAAAAAGGAACGGCCATGCTCTGAACTTCTGAACAATAATGAATTCTAATTACTAGAGGATTTTATTCATTGATTTATCGATTGATTTTTAGTTTAAAAATATGAGGAATGATCTTCTATTGATACATTATATTGTTTGTTAAAAAATTATCATATATATATATATATATATATATATATATATATATATATATATATATGTAAATCTTCTAGATGAGTGCACGAACTGTACGATTACACGGAAACTAAGTTCTAATTTAAATACCTCGTACCTGAATGTATTAAAATTATGCAACATAAAAATATCGCGGTATAAAAAAGCGAATTTGTATGAACGTGAGACAGGCAGATAGAGATAAAGAGATAAAGAGATAGATAGAGATAGAGAGAGAGAGAGAGAGAGAGACGATTTTTAAATATAGATAATCAAAACTTATCTCATAATTATCTTCTTCCTGGCAATTAACTTCATAACCCAAGCTGCAGCAATAAGTTTTAGGAGAACGTGTTCATAGGAGGTATAAGGATAGTGATAATAAAAGTTTAACAATTTATATACATTGGGATCGATCGTAAGGGTCCAGAAGTGAAGTGGTATCACGATAGAAATGTTAGTATGCGTTATATATTCTAATGTGTTGTTAAAAATAGCGATAGAAAAATAATTGAGGAAAAGCTGATAGGAGTATAAACGACGAACGTGTGCATTTACGTTCGAACGCAGACTCGTATCGAAGCGTTTCCCATCGAACGATTGTTCTCGATTGAGAGAAGTTAGAGGAAGAAAATAGATCCGACAAATTTGTTAAAAAATCGACATATATACATATACATACATACATACATACATACATACAAACATACAATATATTCGAGAACGATCTTTCGAAAGATCCTCCGAACGGAGGAGCGGGAATTTGAAAATAAATATTACATATATATATATATATATATATATAAATATATATATGTACATATATATTTTTTATATAAAGAAAGGCTTACATATGACTGAGGGGTGGTATCGAGTGATGTTGCGCCAAAGGATCCGGTGATGGACCTGGAGAATAGACACCAGCACCATGTTGGACGACCCCTTGGTCGACGCCTTGCGGCAAATACATGGATATCATCTGTCTAAGATCTCCCTGAGATTGATGAGTTTGATGGGTTTGTTGGCCCATATATTCACGTTTAACGGCGGCGGCAGCAGCAGCAGCAGCAGCTTGTTGTTGTTGCGCCTGTTGCTGCTGTTGCGGACCAGACGCTGCGCTCGAGGCGCCCGGTCCGCTGGTAGGTGTGGGAGTATGTATACCAGCACTCGCAGGACTCGTTGGCTCAGATTTTATACTGCTGCCGCTAGGACTGTGGCTGGACATTTGGGATCCAGATTGAGGCTGATGATAGGGCGAAGGTGAGCCGCCGGGTACAGTGGTTCCAGCGTAACCACCATATCCATTCATATAACTGTTTATTGGTGGACTGCCACCACCCATATGATGTCCCATATCATATCTTGGATATCCAGCAGCGGCCGCGGCTGCCGCCGCTCCACCCATGTGACCACCATAGGCAACGTGCTGCTGATACGCAGCGGCCGTCGGATCGTGCATCATATAACCATTCGGCATATATCCGTTAGGCATCTGATAGACCTCTCGGGATATCTGTCCTTGCTGGGGCCCACCCGTACTACCGACTTGTCTTTGATCTACCCCTAATATGCCACCGACACCAACGCCAACGCCAACTCCTCCGACACCGCCGCCGAGCGGGAACTTGTCTTTTTTCAAAAGTGTTTTCGTTTTTCTTCTTGGACGATACTTGTAGTCCGGGTGCTCTTTCATGTGCACCGCACGCAATCGCTTTGCTTCGTCAATAAACGGACGTTTTTCCGTTTCGCTAAGTAATTTCCATTCGGCTCCTAAGCGTTTAGAAATCTCAGAATTGTGCATCTTGGGATTCTCTTGAGCCATCTTACGTCGCTGACCACGGGACCAGACCATAAAAGCGTTCATTGGCCTTTTTACTCTGTCTATATTATTGTTCTTATTCGTATTATTATTATTATTTGGTGGCTGATGATGTTGATTTTGGGATTGTTGCTGCTGTGGTTGTTGCGGTTGCTGATGGGGATGATGTTGCTGTTGTGCGGCACTTTGCTGAGCCGCAAGGGTATGCATGTTTTGTTGTTGCTGCTGCTGCTGTTGTTGTTGTTGTTGCTGTTGTTGTTGCTGTTGCTGCTGCTGTTGGGCTGCAGCAGCTGCCGCCTGCATCGAAGCATAATGATGCTGCGGTTGATGATGATGCTGCAGACCTAATCCTAGGGTACTACTGCTAGGTGGACTTCCAGATAGGGCTGGACTATGAACTATGGAACCTAGTGTTCCGTAAGGCGACACGCCGGTATGGTGACCCATCGGCGATACACCTTGGTGCGGATGCGGTGGCATCTGACCATGCAGGCTACCGCCTTTTAGGTCCGTCTCCATCGTGAGCATGTCGTCCTCCCTGTGGCCGTACAGTTTGCCGCCGTTTTCTTTAACCGTGCTACGTCAAAGAAAGCCTCGACACGCCGCCGATGAGATCTCGCGCACAACTGCGCGCCGCTTCTCGATTTCCTTGAGCCGTAGCGCGTTCCGGTCACTACTTGTTCTTTTTTTTCTTTTCTCTCTCTCTCTCTCTCTCTCTCTCTCTCTCTCTCTCTCTATCTATCTATCTATCTCTCTCCCTCCCTATAATATCTCTTTCTTCGAAGCCGAATTTCACTTAGAGTCTGTTTTTTTTTTCATAACGAAATTAAAATCATGAATGATCCGATATAAGAGTTTTTTTTTCGACAAATCACAATCCCTCACAAACTTCGCGCACTCTTTTTATACGTAGAATTGACGCGCGCGCATTACTCGTTCGTTAAAATTACTGTTATTATTGTTGTTGTTGTTGTTTTCTTTTTCTTTCTTTTCTTCTTATCTTCTTCTTCTTCTTCTTTCTCTTCTTCAATGTCTAATATTATCGTTCGTTGTGTTGTTTTCGTATATTAAGAAAGATTTCTCACTGAAAAGTAAGTAAATGACACACTGAGGGAACACCACAAGAAGGAGACGACGATGACGACGCGTCACCGGCGGTCCTCGTAATCGACGACGCCACAGAAGAGAATAACAGATAACAACGACGACGTATTGTTGACACCTTGTGATACCGAAGCCTCTTACTACTATTCACCGACGATGATCACACCATCAACACAAGAGAGCTCGATTTTTCTCTTCTCTTCTCTTCTCTTCTCTCTCTCTCTCTCTCTCTCTCTCTCTCTCTCTTCCTTCTCTTCTCTCACCCTCTTTCTCTTCTCTCTCTCTCTCTCTTTTTCTCTCAGTGTGTATACAATACGTATCCGTATCCGTGTGTATGATGCGTATGAGAGGCGCTGCGTGTGCACAATACACGCTTGGCACGCGTTTTTTTTTTTCTTTCGTTTCTCACACGTCGTAGATTAACACACAAGAAAAGAAGAAGCCGACCTCCACTCTCCACGAAAGGACAGAACCGTCTGAGCATTCGTGGGTTTCGCCTTGGGCTCTAACACTCGGGGCTCACTTCCTGCCGAGGCGGCTGCTGCTGTTACCTCCACTACTCCTCTTTCTCACCCCCCACCCCTGAACAACTCGGTCCGTCCCTCGACCCCTTCGCTCCTACGCTCCCTCCAGTCTACGAGAATACCCCCACTCTAGAAGGATCGACGCGACCATAGCCGAAGGAGCGAGTCTACCGACGGCTATCGATTGGCAAGCGCGCCTGCCATCATTTCTCTCGACCAATCGGCCCTATGCCACAGTTCTGGTGGGCGGGCTCATACCAACCTCCGAAGCGACCTCTTGCGACCAAGCTAAACCTTCCCTCTTACACTACATCCCCACCACTGGTTCTCAACTTGCTCTCCCTTCTCCCTCTCACACTCTCTTTCTCTCTTTCTCTTACTACGATATCAACTTCCCCTATCTTCTTCTTGCCACTGTGCGCGCCACGAGATCGGCTACCCGTCGGTCTCGCGTCGTTTTCCTCTTCCTCTTTCTCCTTCTCTTCTTCTTCTCCTTTTTTTTCTTCTTTTTTTCTTTAGCTCCTTTTCCTTCTTATTCTTCTTCTTCTTCTTCTTATGCTTCTTCTTTTCCTTCTTTTCCTCCTTCTTCTTCTTCTTCTCCTTTGATTTCTCCTTCTTTTTCTTCTTCTTCAACGATGATGACGACGACGACGACGACGACGACGACAACGACGACGACGACGACGACGACGACGTATGCGTGGGCACGATTTAATACTCTTTCTGGTAACGTGTATAGTCATAGGTTAAGCGCTTTGCCACGCTTCAGATATGCATCCGAATTAATCCTATTTCTTAACAAAGATTTGTTTGTTTGTTTGTTTGTTTCTTTCTTTCTTTCTTTCCTGTTTCGTTTATCTCTCTCTTTTTTTCTTCTAATCTTTTTCCTTTTTTTTTGTTTTTTTTATTTCCTTTTCGTCTCATCTCCTTTCGGTATCCAAGTTAAAATACCAATTAAGAATTGTTATATCGAATCTTATTTCGTATCGTTTATTTTTCAACGTGTAAAAATTTACGATCCAGACTAATTATTTTTACAAAGATATTTTAATACAATTGGTACATTTTTTCTTTTTTGCACTATTAATTTCAAGACTTTAATCGTTTATCATTGTATATTAATTATTACGAAATACTTATAACGTAATATTCTAATTCTAATGTGTAATTAAATAAATAACGTTTGTGTTTATATAGAAAAGAAAACATATATGAGAATAGATTAATTTTTATGATAAAGAATTTTTAAATTGTAATCGTTGTTTTGTTTATTGGACGAATAATAATTATGTAAATAAATACGTCTAAACAATTATTTCGATGCTTCTTATTCTATCGTCAAGGTTATAATTTATATTAAATACTTTTGGATACAAATATCTCGTAGACGGATTTTTATGATTCGAATCATTGGATTATCTTATCTCAAGCAACGGCGAGACTAACGTGAATTTTCACGTTAACAAGAACGGGAGACCATTTAAAGAATTATAGAAATTGCATTCCGTGCAATCAAAAAAATCCATTAAAATTCAGTTTAGCATTAATAATCGGGATAGTACAGATTAACAAAAGGAAAAAAAAAAAAAGAAAAAAAAAGAAATACCAACGAATCTAAACGCGTTCTATAAAAAGTTATCCTTGAATATTTCGTGACGTAAAGATTTCTTTAAAAAAATTCGAAATAGTTCATTTATCTTCCTACTATTTTTTTTTTTTTTTTTTTTATAAATTATATTATCTGACGTCACTATCAATATCCATTGGGTGTGCTATTAACGATGTTCTCTATACGTTTCTTTTTTTTTTTTTTGTTTTTTTTTTTATTCGAATACGTCCGATAAGAATAACAATTTTAACGTAAGTAAGTAAGTAAGTAAGTAATTAAGTACATACTCGAATATCACACATTACTCTACGTTTGTTCTACGATTCACTTTCTTTTATTCTTTTTTCTTTCTTTTTTGTCTTTCTTTCTTTTACATTCGTCTACTATCTCAGGAGTATTCCTAAAAGAAGAAGCTTCGATCGGCGATGTGACTTCGTTTTAAGCGGGTTCCTGCGCGTAGGACCTGTTGCCGCTAGAAGAGTGAACGAATGAGACAGACAGAGAAAGAAAAAGAGAGGGAGAGGGAGAGAGAGAGAGAGACAACGAGTTATAGATAATCATAAAGACACAAAAAACTCTGTAGCATCCTGTAACATATAACAATAGTCACGTAAATTTATCGAAAGGAACCTTAAGCTAGTAAATAAAATTTGTATAAATAACATTTTAATATCTCAGACATTTTTACCTACTCTTTGTTTTTCTTCTTTCTTTTTTTATCTCTCGTACACTTCTTTTCGATTTTATATTTTGATTAAAATTATTGATTAATAATAAGAAAATGGTGACGTACGATAAGCAAGCAAGACGACATCGTTAATCCTATTATTATCCGATACAAGAGACTTTTATCGATGATTTCTCGATACGATAACTATTTACATATATCGATTTTTTTTTTCTCCCGATGCGTTACACATCGCAAGAATTAGATTGAGATAAACACCCCTCGTGATCGTGATCGTGATCGTTTGATGAATCTCTCTTGAATATATATTGTGATGAATTAATATGATGAAAGAAAATTTTCCATAAATGTTATTTCGTTAAATTAATTCGAACGAGATTGTCAATGAAATAAATCATTCTTCTTCTTATCGATATTCAATTACAATTTCTTGGATACAATTCCTTTTTTCTTTTCTTTTTTTTTTTTCTTCTTTCTTTTTTCATAGATACAATTTAATTTTTAATGCAATTTAATTATTAACGATTATAAAAACTAAATATCGCTTAAATTCAGAATCATTCTTTAAAGGAATTTCTTTTAAGGAATCGACAAATGTGAATTAGTTAGGTAAATAATACTTTACCTTACTTCATATAATCATAATCGACAAATTTATGAACGTAGTTTATCCTAATCCCATGATCAGTATACATAAAAGAAAGATAGATCTAAAACACGAGAAGGTTTATTATTCGCGATTCTTTCATCGAATTATTTGGATTTGCTTGGCGACACGATGCGGTCGCATTAAGTCGAAATGCCACAAGTGGCACATAAACCGTGCGGAATAAGTGGATTGATAGGTCGTTACTGTTGAAAAAAGATGGAGCGGATTGCGAGGAGTGGAAATAACGGAGAGAAAGAGAGAGAGAGAGAGAGAGAGAGAGAGAGAGAAAGAGAGAGAGATAGAAGAAAGGAAGAGAGAGAGAGAGAGAGAAGAGAAAGAGAGAGAAAGAGAAACTGTACAATAAGTCGGGGTCCGACAATGGAAATACCGCGGGCGGTCTTTGTGATTCAAATCAATGTTTGTGATACTCGATGGCGCACTGCTCTTGTACAAGGCAAACGCACACGAGAGTAACCGAGCTCACGCGCGCGCGCGCGCGCGCGTGCACTTACCTACATCTCTCTCTCTCTCTCTTTCTCTCTCTCTTTCTCTCTCTCTCTCTATCTATCTATCTATCTATCTATCCTATTCGCGTTCACGTATTACGCCTATCTCCATCTCGAAGTACGATGTATACCAAATACACTTAGGTATAGGTAGTATATCCTATATACTGTATACTAAACGTAGATATATATATATATATATATATATATATATATATGTAGCTTGTATCAAATGTGTGTGAACGAACACGACACGAGAAAGCTCATTGTGTGTCCTACTATAAAACGCACTCGAAAACCAGAATCGTAAACGATACGATCGATCTCCTTCCATGCGTGCAAACACAACCGCCTCACGAGAGAGAGAGAGAGAGAGAGAGAGAGAGAGAACCATTTGGGTCTTCTCTCGTTCTCGCACCTACCGGAGAAAACGAACTCTGACAATTTTCTCTCAGAGACTATCTAATGCAAATATTCTTTACTATTATCTACTATGTATTAGTAAATATAGATTAAATTAAACATTTATTTTATATTTATTTAAATATCCTTGATATGATTATTATATGAATTATCATTGATCAATTAACGAAATTTCATTTTCTCCGTCGTTAAATTTTTATTCCCAAGTAATATCGATAGAATAAATATTTTCTTTTGTATTTTTATTCGTTCATTGACGAATTTTGCTTTTTACAAGAATACAGTTAGGATATATATATAAATATACTGTATAAGAACTTACATAGGTATGTCTTAAGAGAAGAAGAGAGTCAGACCGAAGCGAATCAAGTAAGACAAAGTGACGTAATGACGCAATGACGCAAACACCCTGCTATTGTTATATCCCATTATTGCTGACCCATTAACCGCGTTTTCAGTCAACCTCTTACCCTTCTACCATCACTTCTGTCCGTTCGTATGTCCGTATGTCCGTATGTCCGTCCGTTCGTTCGTTGGTGGTCGAACTTGAAATTGAAAAAAAAGGGAGAAAGAAAAAAAAGAAAGCGAGAGAGAGAGAGAGAGAGAGAGAGAGAGAGAGAGAGACAGAGAGAAAGAAAGAAAGGGATAGGAGAGTCGGTCGAAAGGGAAAACAACGAGCGCGGAAGAATTCGCGGGCGTGCAATTGCCAACAGGTGATACCATTGGGGCCTCCTCTTAGAACTCGAATAATGAGAGAAAGGGAGATTGTGTACGGGCAAGAGAAATGAGAGAGAAAGAGAAAGAGAGAGAGAGAGAGAGAGAGAGAGAGAGAGAGAGAGAGAGGAGAAATGGGGTAGAAATCAGGAGAGGGGAGGGTAGGTGTACGGGGGAGAAGCGGAGAGGAGGAGGATGGTGGTGCCGGAAGGGTGGCCAACAAAGACTTTATCGTTTGGAGGACCGATTACAAAGCTCGATTGTTACCATTCTTCAGGATCCAAATAATCTCGCTCGTCCGACCACGGGCGAGCAGCTACGATAGAAGTTTCTACTCATCGGGTTCGCGCACAGACCACCACCGCCGAAGGACTCGTTTCCTGTCTACTTTTTCTTTTTTTTCTTCTTTTTCTATCTTTTCTCTCTCTTTCCCT